AGGCAATCCGCCCCGCCCCGCCCTGCCCCCGCCTGCTGCTGGGCCTGCTCCACTACCAGGACTTCCAGCTGGGAGGTGATGGAATGCGCCTGCCGCCTGCCTGCCCAGGCCCCGCTGACACGTGCTCCCTGCAGGAGAGGCCACGACCCGAGTTCGCTGCCACGGCCCCCACGACAGCCCGGAATCCCATCACCGGCGAGGATGAGCCCTACTTTCCCCCGAGGAGCCGTGCAAGGCGCGCGCTGGCCGGCTCCGTGGTGATTCTGATGATGGTAGAGGCCACCTTCCGTGGGTCCACGGTCGCCTGTCCTCGACTCCCGCGGCCTCGCTGCCCCGGAAAGGCCCTGGTGCTGGGGGACTCCCGCGGCCTCGCTGCCCCGGAAAGGCCCTGGTGCTGGGCTCCAGAGGGCCCCAGAAGGCTGGGCTGTGATCCCTGGCACACGGCGGGTGTGCAGGCAGGGGGCTCTGGGAGGTCTCCCCGTAGGGGTTTCTCAGCCGGGAGGGTGGCTGGCTGTGGCCTCCCTCCCCTCTGCGACGGCAGGCGCTCCCAGCTGAGTGCCCGCAAACGGTGGGGGGGGGTTGTCCTGTAACGCGAGGTGCTAAGAACAAGGCTGTGCACTCTCCTGATGCCCCAAAGCCACCCCCCATCGTAAATGCAGTATCTGTGCACCCCACCCCTGTCTGACCCACACCGAGAGAGAGGCCACAGCCTGGGATCACAGACAGGGGTGAGGAGAGCAGAGAGGCTTCCTGGTGGAGGAGGCGCTGGCCTGCGAGGACTGGTGCTGGTGTTCTGTGCCCCGGGTCCCACAGGCGGCCATGGCAGCCATGTACTCTGCACCCCACAGGTGGCCGTGGTGGTCATGTGCCTTGTGTCCATTATCCTGTACCGTGCGGTCATGGCCGTGCTGGTGTCCAGGTTGAACAACGTCCTCCTGGCAACCTGGGTGAGGCCCTGTTCCTGCCAGGTGGGCAGAGGGTTGACCACACTCAGGGCCACACTGACCAGGCTGTCTCCTGCCAGGCGTCCCGCATGGCCAGCCTCCTGGGCTCTGTGGTGAACCTTATCATCATCCTCATCCTTTCTAAAATCTACGTGTACCTGGCCCACATCCTGACGCGCTGGGGTGAGCAGGATGCCCAAGCAGATGGGCCCAGCCCTCACTCCTAAGTGTTCCCTAACAGCTCCCAAAATGGTCCCCCAGTGGCCTCCCTTGCCTAGAAGCTTGCATGCTGGGGAGCTGCAGGCGGGGGCTTGGCTGTGATGTGCGTGTATACTTGTGTGCGTATGTATGTGCATGTGTGTGGGCTGTTACATATATGTGCATATTCACACATGTGTATGTATTTGTGTGTGCATGTGTATATGTGTGTGTGCGTGCATGTGTATATGTGCTTGCTGTGTGTATGTATATGCATGTGTATGTGTATACATGTTGTTCTGGTTACCTAGTGCCACTCTGACAAGAATGTACCACAAATGGGATGGCCTTAACAAACAGTAGTTTATTCTCTTACAGTTTGGAGGCATTAAGTAGGAGTTCAAAGTGCCAGGCTCTAGGGGCTGGGTGAAAGCCCTTCAACCTAGGGGTTCAGCTCTGCCTCCTGCTCCCGGCCCATTGGAGCTAGAGGTTTTTTTTTTTTTTCAGTCAGACAGCTACTGAGACTGACAAACCCAAGGTCAGCAAGTAAAAAGGCACAGTCCTGATGTTACCAAACCACATGGCAGGCCATTAATTCAAGTCCATTAAAAGTCCCAAGGTCAGCACAGCATGGCAGGCTGCTGAACAACGACATGGCTACATGCAGGGCTCAAGTGTGCCATAAGCTAGAGACCATTCCCCAAGGCTCTCCTTACATACAGGAAGCAGACCACATACCTAAGGCAGCTACTCAGCTGCTTACTGTAGATTCCACCATGGAGTTGATGACCAGTCTCATCATGAGGAATACTACATCCAGCTGCCCAGCCACTCAACGAGGCCCAGCCAAGCTGACACAAAACTTAACCAGCACATGGGGCAATCTATTTCTGTAGTGATACCACCTTGGAAAATCCAAGGAGGGGTTGTTGTGAGTCGTATCTGACTCGACAGCAGTGGGTTTATACATGTATGTGTATATGTGTGTGCTTGTGTCTATATATGGATATGTATACATATGATTGCATATCTATGTGTTGCATGTATGTGTGTACATATACAATGCATGCTTGTGTGCATATTTGTGTTTATGTATGTGTGCATATATGTGTATGTGTGTATATGTATACACATATGTATATTGCATACACGTGTGCATGTGCATTGTATTGTGTGCATGCAATATTGTGTGCGTATTTATGTACATGTATGCATGTGCGTATGTGTGTGTGTTTGTGTATGTGTGTATACATGTGTATGTGTGGACAGAGCCTGAGCAGATTCTTTGTAATATTTGTGTGTATATATGCATGCATGAAGCATGTGTGTTTATATGTGTATATGTGGACAGGGTATGAGTGGGCTCTCTGTGTGATTATTTGTGTGTGTATATGTGTGTATATGTGGGCTGGGCCTTAGCAGGCTCTCTGTGATATTTGTATGTGTTTATGTGTGGATATAAGTGTGTATATGTGTGCATGTGTGTGCATGTGTGTAGGTATGTGTGTGTGGGGGGGCTGGGCCTGAGTGGGCGCTCTGTGATATTTGTATGTGTTTATGTGTGGATATAAGTGTGTATATGTGTGCATGTGTGTATGCATGTGTGTGTGTGTGGGCCGGGCCTGAGTGGGCTCTCTGATATTTGTATGTGTTTATGTGTGGATATAAGTGTGTGTGTGGGGAGCTGGGCCTGAGCGGGCGCTCTGTGATATTTGTATGTGTTCATGTGTGGATATAAGTGTGTATATGTGTGTGGGGGGGGCCGGGCCTGAGCGGGCACTCTGTGATATTTGTATGTGTTTATGTGTGGATATAAGTGTGTGTATATGTGGGGGGGGGCTGGGCCTGAGTGGGCTCTCTGTGATATTTGTATTGTTTATGTGTGAATATAAGTGTGTGTGTGTGTCTGTGCATGTCTGTGGGCCGGGCCTGAGCGGGCTCTTGATGATATTTGTATGTGTTTATGTGTGGATATAAGTGTGTGTGTGGGGGGGGCTGGGCCTGAGCGGGCTCTCTGTGATATTTGTATGTGTTTATGTGTGGATATAAGTGTGTATATGTGTGTGTGGGGGGGCCGGGCCTGAGCAGGCTCTCGATGATATTTGTATGTTTCTGTGTGGATATAACTGTGTGTGTG